GTTTCTAAGGTTCTTCTTCTACAAACAGTCTAAAAGAAGTTGTTAAACATCTGAGTGGTGCCCTACTACTAGTGGTGAGAAAGTGTATTGCACCTTATTAAAAATCAATGCGGTCTCGTGGCCCAAAGTTAAAAACTGTTGTTCTTTGAGGCCCATGGGTTAAGAATCTCTGCTTTAGAGTCCTCCCAGAACAGCTGAAAGAGGTGGCTGGATCTACCTGATCAATCTGTCCAGTTGTGAACAAGTTGTGTGACTGTTGACCTAATAGATAAACCAATGAATWTGTACTGCCATGTTTTAAAATGACACATATATATAGAAGTAAAACTTGTGTTTCCTGTACGTAGAGCCATAAGAAGCAGCGTCTACAGATGGGAGTTATCTTCATAGATGATGAAGAACCTGTGTTGGAAAAGGAGCCTTCAGGTGCTGAGAGGACAGGTGGAGCAGATGGGTTGTCCTCATCATGCCATGTAAGTACACACACCGCCTGGAAAACATTTAGTTATAACCTGACACACGGGGGCACTGTTGTCTACTGAACTGATCTTTTCTGACAACCTGATTTATTGTAAATCCTGCTTTCTTTTCAGCTTCTTACCATTTCTTCTTAATTAGTTTGTTAGTAATCCAATGACTCAAATAATTGGAGGAATCATTTCAGCCCTAGACAGCAGCTCTTGTGTTGTAGTACACAGTTAACAGCACACAGCAGGCCTAATCAGTTAAACAGCTAGGTGGAAAACAGCCTGATAATTTTATAATTCACTTCATACATTAGAAATAGAAAAACTTTATTATCTGTCCCGACTGGTGACAGAAACTCTTCTTTGACAAGGGCTCCATCAACAGACACTCCCACACAAGCATCTCAATAAATACAGATAAAAAGCACATTAAAAACACAAAAAGAAAGAAGGATTCATACAGTTTCAGAATTCAGAATCTGTTAAAAGTCACCTTGTTTCATGAAATGATGCCTTCAAATGTGTGAGGAAGGTCTACTGTAGACAGCTCAGCTGTTGGTACACACATGAATYAAACAGACCTGTCACTGCTGCTTCATTATTGACCTGTGGTCAGAATCTGTCRGTCCTCCTGACGGCCCACAACATGTCACAGTTTAGTTATAATGTTTCAGTTAATATTAACTAATCATGTCAACAAARGGTTCACAGTCACCATTTTGTTTTCACCACTGGGTGGCAGTGTGCTCCACCAAATTAATAAAAGCAAAGTTTCAGACTGAAACAGGTTCTAGAGGAGGTAGGGTTTTAAATTTATAATTGTGGTTTTCTAATAAAAACAAAGCTATAAAATGTTTAAAAACTTAAAGTAAATATTTAATAATTTTTATTTCTTTTCAGATAGATTGTAAATAGACTTTATTCAGTACTGATA